GCAAATCCCACATCGACAAAGCACATGAGAGATCCATGGTTCATAATTAGGAAACCGACCTTAACTGACAAGACGCGTTTTGGGGTGAAATGGAAAAATTCTTGTGAGAACTCCAAAGTTAAACGTGCTCAGTGCGGAGCACAATAAGGATGGGTGACCTTATGGGAAGTCACCTTGAAAAATTTCTTCCCATAATGCTTGATAGTGTTGGATGAAAATTATATAACCACAATGATATACTATAGTATGATTAGAACTAGATTACCCATCACTACAAGCTCAATTATTCATAAACAAAAGGAACAAAATGGAAGCATAATCCATTATACTACTCATAAACTAAGCAAAACACTCATAAGATTAGTTAGTTCCAACAAGGCAGAAACTAAAACAGAGTAAAAAAATCTGCAACCAATTAAAACCTTAGTTCAAGTAGCCAATAATCAAATACATCCTCAAATAAAACTAAAACCATCTGTTAACCTGTAATGTAAACTATATGTGCATATATGAATAAATGGTTGCTTGGATCTTCAATAGTCTGTCGGAAATCACTATAGTATATCAGTACTGAAACATAGTTCTACATTTTTCATTCACTAATTTTCTAACCAGATTTCACAAGCGAGCAAATAAAGAATCAAAATCCAAACTTGTAGCCAAAAGTACCTGTTGATCTCAATTCTCAGGCAGAGGGTCTGGGGATGGAGTTCTTTGTCCCATTACATTTCAAAGCATTTCCTTCACCACTACAAGTTCAGCCTCTACATGATTCATTCCTACCAATTTTGTCTCTAATATTTGCACGTGGTCCCTGAGGCCTACAATTTCATCTAGAGCATGTTGCAATGCAGCGTCATTGGTGAACTCAGCAGACGACCTCTCAAAGTCTTTGGGAGTAACACCACCTCCATAACAAAATACTTTATCACTCTTTTGAAGCCCAAAACTCTTTTCAACTACTTCAAATGGACACAAGTCAGGTTCAACATTCTGAATTTCAATTATATGATTCTATTCAAGAATATTAGATCCCAACACAGTTAGTAATATTAGTAGAAACACTAATGAAGACATAAGTTATAAGATGGGAAAGCAAATCACATACATGTTTCTCAATGCTAGCAACATCCACCAATTTCCCATCCATGCTACGAGTTTCAAAAAACAATGTTGCGAAATTAGGTGGAAGAACAAAATTATGATTATCTTACAAAGCAACAGAGAACAAAAATATGAGAATCAAATATGTACCTCAACCTATAAAATCAACACAACAAAAGAAATAGAAAATCCAAAAATGGGTACAAAGTGAAAAGGCAAACAGAGCAACCTATGATGATCTAATATAAGAACCCATGTACCAAGGAGCAACACATGCAATGCAATTTTACAAAAATATACAGGCTATATATTTAAGTACTTACATATTGATGGGTGATTTCCCTGCTAGGCTTACTACCAGTGCGGGAAGGCATGGTAACATTAGCTATATTCTTAGTGTTTTGTTCATTCAGCTTCTAATGAAATCAGTAAGAAGTTTAAGTTTATTACAATTTAAGAAAATAAAAAGTCACCAGAGAATATAAATCATACAAAAAAAAGTATCTGGAACTTGACACTTGACCAATGCACTTTTACTAGCCACTTCCATTATTGTTTATGAACTTGTGGCGTAAGATTCTTAACTGCCTCTTCCATATTCTCACACGGTTTTACATACTCTTTCTTGAAGTTACCTCTTGCTTTGTTCCATGTCTCCCTTGCATAATCAGTCATAACCTTCCTATCTCTATCAGCTACATGTCACTTCTCCTGCAAATTGGTTATATATAGTTCCATGAGCTCATTTTGACAACAGATTATGCTACATAAACAAACCAACAAAGTCATTGTTAAAAGAGCCCTTTAAAATTCATCACCTGAACCACAACCCACATGTGATCTACTGTTTCTTGTGGAATGTACTTCCATCGAGGTACTGCCAGTGGACATAGGCTAGGATCATGTACTATTCTGCCCAAGGACCTAGAGAATTCCTGATGGTTCTTGTCAACATCATGGTTTTTAAGTAAAACATGCAATTGTTCTCCACATTTTAGTTTAGCAACTTTTTCGCACTTGTTGGAACCTCTCTTCCTCTTCTTGTTAAGATCTAATGAAGCATAATAAATAAGTAAAGCAGTTAGAACTATGATTAAATTTGAAAATGTTTCATGATAAAGCAATATTCGAATAGAGTATGAATTCAAACTTGTGTTGTGTTCTTCAGCAGGAGGAATCTCTTGAGTTGCTTAATTACACTCATCCCTAATTTGGAAAATTTATAATTCAGATAATCAATGTCAACATAGTGACTAAGAACCTTCACATCATAATACCAACAAACGATATATGATAAATAGTTACCATCGCGTGGATTTAGAGCTTCATATGTTGAATCAGAAATTGGCACATGTTTGCTTTCTGACTTGTGTTGAAGTGCCAGAAGATGTTAAGCGGTGAATGATACCTCATTTTGAAATTGAGCTTGTCAAAGTTGATATTGTGTTGCATGGTTGGCGTCTTCGGCCATGGTTCTTCCATAATTCACCAGGGGAATCACGTTGCCCCTAATCCTCTATTGATTCCACCTCTTGCTTAAATTAGTTTTCATTATATTCGATTACACAGGCAAATGCACAAATGATGTTAACAAAGATAAAGCAAAACTTGTAGCAAATTTCAAACTACAGAACATTCTACTATTTCTCATTTCATTTCCCCATTTCCTTCTACTTTCAGTTATCCTTAATCATGTTTAAACTAAGCATTTTATACTACTGGTGTACTTATGCAAATTACACTACTTCCTTATTTCTGTAAATCAAACAAGGAAGTTTTTGGTACAGGTCTTCAAGCATAATAATTTTACTTCCCCAAACAGAGGTAGCATAAGTGTTGGGTGAAGGGAACCAAGAACAGAGCTAACCTTGCTGTCAAATTCTTGAAAATGCTAAAGTCCAAAGCTATCTTTCCAGTAAAGCCTGCAAATAGAATAAGCATTTGCAAATTAAATCCCTACCAATAAAAGAGCTCACTAGTGATAAGAGAAAAACAAATTCTCAGTTAAACAAACATTAAATTAAAGCACTTGGACTTAACACTCACTTCAAGCCCACATGCCATTAGGAGCATACTATCCCTTATAGGACAGGAACATAATACATTTATTTTGATCCAAAGCCTCGCCCAATCGAAAATAAAATAAATAAATAAATAAATAAATAAGAGAGAAAAACAACCTATATGTTGACCCTACTCCCATGTCCAGCAAACATGAGGAAAAATTAAGCAAAAAGCAATTATCACAACCAGCAGAGTGACTCGACTCCTTAATAGAATGTATGTGGTTTCAACATGTTGAGACAAACACATCAGAGAGTAAATTCATAGGTTTATGAAAGTAATGATTCGGAACAACAAACCAAAATAGTAAAATTCCAAACACTTGGTAAATTAATTAGGGGGAGTCTTAGGCTGGTGGGTAGAATCTAAAATTGAAGAGTAAACTATCGATAAAAAAAGATTTTGCAGCAACCAAATCAAAAGAAAGACACAATACTTTTAAATGACCTGGTGAAAAGCAAATAGGAAATCAAAGTTGAGACTCAACTTTAATTTGGATGACCACCTTCAGCAAGGCTTCAGGAAGCACTGGAGTAGAAGACCTTGGGCTTGCTACCTGCGACTCGAACAATAAGGTTATTGGGTGAGCATTGAGAAGGAAGGAGAGTAGTTTGTGTTAGTTTTTAATTTTAAGAGAACGAAGAATCTAACCTTGAACACTATCGTTGTGAGGAAATTACGGTTCAGGAGCGAGACGAGATGAAGAACTTCAGCTCACTTTGCTTCGATGAGGTATTGCTTCATAGGGTTTAGTTTTTCTTCTAATTGAGATGGTGGAATCGAATATAGATGGAAATTTGAAGTAAAGGAGATGTCATTAATGTTTAGGAAAAAGAAATCTAGCGAGTTCCATGGATGGAGAGTTGGGAGAAGGAAAGGAGGGTTTCCTCGATTGATTTCAAACTGTGGGTTCTGATTTTTTAGTCATTGTGATTCTTTGTTTTGGGGCATCTTATTTCAGCAGAAAAAAAATTAAAAGCTCCTGCTTGCCTTTTCATTTTCCCGCTTCACCCAAAAAGTGTAAAAAGTCCTGCCAAGCACATGATCCTTCACTTACGGTGGAAATAAGTGAGTGATGTGCCCCCCTTTATTTAACCCAACATCATTAACAACACTATTTCTTGTAGTGTATCCGACTTATTGGAGGAGTAGGGGAACGACACCCACACTTGGCTCTAATTTCCGAAGTGAGACGCCTCCTAGCCCTCGATTGGCAGGTGAAAATCGTTCATGTGTTTTGAGAGGGGAACGTCGTTGCAGATTACTTAGCTTCACTTGGACATGGACGTTCGCCAGGAGACCATTTTGTTGAGCTCCCTTGTGCTATATTAAGTTACTGGTTATACTTTAATTATACTGGAGTTTTAACTCCTCGTTTAAAAAAAAAAGTTAGTGTGTCCTAACGCCTCGTTTCAAAAAAAAAAATAAAGTAAAAGCAATTTAGGAAACCAAGGAAAAAGGGGAGAAAATGGGGAGGGAGTAGCAGGTTATAATTCCTAGAGTCCAAAACTAGCTAGGTATATAAATATAGGCCATGTTGATAAATACGTAGGTAGTAAAAAATGGGAGTACCAAAAATGTAAAACATATAATGTTTGTTATAGAAATGTAAGGCAGGTCCCCATTACAATCTCCCAGTCCCAGGGTTTCCATTTCCTCTCCAAAATAACAACACATAGAAATTGAAGTATAATAATAGAGTACCAGAAATGTAAAACATATACTGTTTGTTATAGAAATGTTTTATCTTCATCTTTCTTTTTACTTTTCTCTCTCTCTACTACTAACCTCCCCTCCCCTCCTCTCCTCACTTTCTATATATAATCCTAGTGCTCATCTCATCCCATCTTTCTCCCTTAAAAAGCTACAGCCACACAGGGTTCCCAAAGAAAAGCCTTGCCCTCTCCTTACCAACACCAGAAACACAAGGAAAAGAGATAATAAACATAAGAGAATTGGTGATGGGGAGAGGGAGAGTAGAGCTGAAGAGGATAGAGAACAAAGTGAACCGGCAGGTGACGTTTGCCAAGAGGAGGAACGGGTTGCTGAAAAAGGCGTACGAGCTCTCTCTTCTCTGTGATGCTGAGGTGGCTCTCATCATCTTCTCCAACCGCGGCAAGCTCTGCGAGTTCTGCAGTACGCCCAGGTCGGTCTTGCTAGCTAATACTACTCTTGTCGACTTTTCATGTGCACCTTAGTCATTCACACTGAGGGTAGTTTGAATTTGGCCTCCTGGATCCATGTTTGGAAAGCAAGATCTGTGGGTTTAGGGTTTCCAGATGTTAAGAAAAAAAATGGAAAAAAGCAGCAACTAATTATTTCTGTGCGTTTAAAATACATAATAATAATAATAATCAACTTGTTATGATTTTGATTAATTGTTTTGTGTTCTGGCTGTGATAATTGGATTCATTAATTACCTCAAATCACCCGGCTCCAGGTTCTTAATTATTTTGTACACATATATAGATGGGTCTAGATTGCTTGTTTCTTTTACCTCATCATCATCATCATGATCTCTTCATAAATCTACTCATCACTGGCTGATTTATCATGTTGGTGAAACCCAATTAATTAAATGAAGGCATATTATGGGATTCAATTCTTTTGGATGGGTGGTTTTCTTTTACCCTGCGGATACGAATAATAGGATGATTCTCCAGTACTAGTGTTGCTGGGCGCAGGGGGAGAGTAAAAACATCTGAATTGATTGAAGGTGCCATTTTATTCATTTAATAGATTGAAGAAAAATGAGACTTTAAAGCAAAATAAGTAGTACTGTTACGATTTGGTGCAGACGATGGGATGTTTTCCAGTTTTCTGCAGTACGTAGAGAGTACCAAAATAAGTCCGCTGGTCTTTGTGGTGTGCGTGATTGGAAAATGAACAGAGAGAGAGAGAGAGAGAGAGAGAGAGAGAGAGATTAAACTAGCTAGTATTTATTTACGTTTGGGTTCTGGCTTGGTTGGTTCCTTTTCATATGATATGATATGATTGTGAAGTTTCTCGCTGATTGCATTTTGGTTACTGGGTTTCATCATCAGTATTACACTTGTCCTTGATGCACTTCAATATATGGTAGTACAGTCGATGCTCTTTCAACCACCCATAACAATAGAATATATATATTAAATAGTTACTTCTATTATGTTAGGAAAAAAAAAACTTCAGAACTTCTTTAATTTATATCTTTTGATGAGTATACATGATTATTTCACAGTAAGGTTGTCAAACCGGTTTATACTGTTACGACGGTGTAGCAAGTAAGTATGGTTCAGACGAGATACAAACAATTTTTATGTCGGGTTATATCGGTTTTCACAAAACATATGAAAAAACTGGAAAATCATTAACAACAAATGAATTGCGTCATTTCACAGCTCTTTTAATAGGCACTTAACAGAGAAATGGATGGAAGAGTAAATTAGTTACAGTTTAATTTTAAAATAGTATATTTGTGCAAAAATATAGTAGAGGGGTACGTTTGTTAATTTACCATAATAGAGGGATAGAAAATGCTATTAACCCTTTTTAAAATAGAGATTATTAACCTATAGCTTCTATAACTTTCTCATTGAATCCTAACCTGAATTCCAATTCTAATTTAAGTCGCACATACATCTCGAAGAAGCACGTTAGAAAATGATAGAATTTTACAATGCTTTAAAGCATTAATGCTTTAGTTTTTGTGTTATGGTACCTGTACTCTTTTGTATAAATCTGTTTATGGTACAAACTAAAATTGTACATTCATATTATGATACAATTTGAAGTTGTACCATACATAAGAGTACAAATTGAAGTTTATGGTACAACTTAATTTGTACCTTTAACGTCGTTATACTACAATTTCAAATAGTACTTTAAAAACCAATGCTTTAAAGTATAATAAAAGTGCTCGTTCGAAAATACATCGATGTGCAACTTAAAGTTGGATTATAAATAATTTACAATTTAAAATATGCCCTTACAGATTTTGAGAGTGCACCTTCAATTTCCAAGTCAAAAGATTAACCGCTTGTTATGCTAAGCTGCAAGGAAAGAAATGTGATGTATTAACTGTTCTTACCGGACATCTATGTGATTGACTCCCTATTTTCAAAATGATAGAGAATTCGAATGGCCTCTACCAAATTATTCCATACAATATATGTTTACCAAACTTTAAAATTATTTTTAAAATATCAAATTTTGAATTCTAATTGATAGCATTAGTATGATAACATGATGTTAATATAGAATACCAATTAATCTATATGCATTATTTTATATTAAACCCTTAACTCTAAAATTGAAATCCTAAATTGTTGAGCCCTAACGAAATTTGATTTTTTTTTTTGTCAAAATTCATTCAGTCCATCATACAGTAAGTAACAATTTTTTTTATATAAATCGCTTGCTCATGATGAGAATTATGAAGCGAGTAAATAGAATATATGTACATGAATTTGTACATATGTCACCATATGTTCCACTAGAGGGATATAAAATCGCTCGTGTTCATAGCTACCAAAGCATGGAGTTAATCGATTAGGTAGCGTTATACTGATAAATTAATACGCACTCGACGTGCAATTTTCTGTCCTTATTTCAATCAATTAACATGCTTGTTTTCCAGTCTATTTTTGTATCACTAACTCAAAATCTCCTATAGTGGTCTTACTATGATTGCCATTACATGGTGTAGGGTTTGGTTGATTAGGATTGCTCATACTCTGATCATAGCTTCCTAGTGCCTAACATCAATTTCAATCATTGTTCCTTAGTAAACATTGCTGACATTTCTCCTATATATCGTGTTAAATATATGTGTGTATATATAGCATGGTGAAGACTCTTGAGAAATACCAGAGATGCAGCTATGGAGCAACGGAAGCCCATAGGCCTCTCCATGAGACACAGGTACGTAAAATCCCCACCACTGTCTGTCTGTATATCCCTTGGGCTAGCTTTCTGCTCTCGTAAGTTCCATAGTTGTTATATATATGTTTCATTCGCCTCAAACAGAGCAGGTACCAAGAGTACCTGAAGGTCAAGGCTAGGGTGGAGCTCCTCCAGCACTCTCAAAGGTGATCATTCTTCATTTCATTTGGCTGTATATATGTAAACGCTAGTTATTCAAACTAGATATAGCTAAAACAATGAATGGAAATGTGGAACATATATAAAAAATTGATTGTATGCTGCTGGTTTTGTTTTGTGGTGCAGGAAGCTCCTTGGGGAAGATGTGGGATCACTGAACACAAAGGAGCTGGAGCAGCTTGAGCATCAGCTGGAGTTTTCCTTGAACCGCATTCGCTCAACAAAGGTACCTTCGTACGTACGTCATATATATCACACACATATATGAAGTCCTATTTATTTCTTGCAATGTATATATGTATATAGGTCTGAAAACTGGCCCGATCCTGTCCTGACTCTGTCCTGACCCGCCTCTGAAGGGTCAAAATGTATAACTGACTCGCCCCGACTCTGTCTGACATTTTAGGGTCGGGGCGGGTCAGGAAGAGTCGGGTCAGTGGGTCGACCCTAATAAATACAATATTTTTCTAAAAATTACAATTTGGTACTCGAATTTATTTTTCCTTACATTGTAGTACCTAAATTTTATTTTTTTTACAAATAAGTCCCAAAAATTTGATGATAAAATTATGTTTTGGTACCCAGATTTTTTTTTTACAATTTAGTACCCAAACTTTTAGAATTTTACAAATAGGTCCAACATGTTTGTATGATGCTAAGGGTCATATGGTCAAAAAGTGACCCGACCCTAAATTGACCCTACCCTATCTGACCTTGATCCAACCCTAAGCTGACCCGACACTAAACTGATCCTATAGACAAACTGACCCATCCTGACCCTGAGTGACGGGGCGGATCGGGGCGGGTCAGTAGCTTTTAAGAGTAAAACTTACACCCTAATGTATATGTATATAGTTCTCTCTGACGCTGCTTCTGGTGGCTTTTCTTTTTGTTTGGGTTTTCCAGACACAAATGATGCTTGACCAGCTTACCGATCTTCACAACAAGGTACGTAGTGAAACAAAAAAATTCAGTTTTTTTCAATTCCAAGTCGAATTTCCGATACCCACGCTACTACTCTGTGTCATGTTCTTTAGTAGCAAATTATTTATAGATTCCGTAAATTTCACTTCAAACATTTTTTTTTAAACATCCATTTGCATTCTTTGAACAATTTTCCGAACTAGTTTAAACACTACCAATAATTGGATTATCATTAATGTAGTACTCATGCTGCCAAACTCCAATATATATATTTTTTCACAGGAACAAGCTCTGCTTGAAACCAACAAATCGCTGAGAATGAAGGTAACCTACCTAGATTCATTCATTACTTAGTTGCCATGTAGTTAGTACCCATAATATTCATCATGAGCTGATTTTCCACTTTGAATAATACGTATTGCTCAGTTGGAGGAAAGCAGTTGTGTACAAATGGCGCCTCTGCGGGTGATGTGGGAAGGTGGTGGAGGGAACAACCAAAACATTAACATTCCTTACAGCCACCTGTTTCCCTCTCACCATCAGCAGCATCCATCTTCTCAAGCCTTCTTCCATAACTTAGCTCCCACTCTCCACAATGGGCAAGTATATACGTATAATGCATGTCGTTAATCAAATGCATTTACTTGTAATTAACTTGCCATTAACCTAATAATTACTTGTTTTAATTTTGTCATTTTGCATGACTGTACAGGTACAATGATGAGGTGAACCAAGCGGTCGCTTCCACTGCCAATAATGATGGGTTTGTTCCAGGCACCTGGATGCTCTGACCTCTTACCCATCATCCACTTACATCTCTCTACTATATATATATATATATATATATAGTTGTTTAATTTCCTTTTCAATTTGTGGGTTCTCTTGAGGTCTTGTTCATGAATTTTTTCTAAAGCTATTTTCTTTGCTTTTTCACAATTTCAAATAACTTGTGATGGTTTTCCTAAGGTTTCTTCTTTCTTTCGGGAAAGATGCATCGTGTAATTAATTATTTTGTAAACCAAGTCCAAGTGTGGCGTATGATGTGTGTGCATTGAGAAAAAAAGGGAAAACAAATGCATATGTAGCGTTGTACTAATATGGATATATATGTAAATCATTGGTAGAAACCACTAGCGTTATTGCTTAATTTGAGGGGTGGTTTGCTATATGGATTTGTATGATAGATTTGGTATAAAAAAAACCCTAGTATAGAGGATTTGGTACAAATTTCTTATTTGTTGGTCAAACGGAGAGTTTCTCCAGGTAGAACATGGCCACAGTACAAGCTGACTGCGAGGAAGTTCGCGGCCACGTCTCATGAATCGTAACTAGGAAGTCAGCCCGCGAATTCCTCGTACATGATGGCCGAAACGGAAGCATTGCAAGATCGCAACCTCTATTAAGAAGACCCCTTTCCCCATTCACGAGAGTTGATTTTAAGATAAAATTTCTTGTTTTAGAGAGAGAGAAGAGAGAGAAGATTAAGGAAGTAGAAGAGGAGAAGAAGGAAAAGGAGCTAGAAGAGAGGAGCCATCTTCCTCAACATCAAGCCTTCTTCCACCTCTTCTATGTATCTTCTTCCCTCCTTTATAGAGTAGTCCTCTAAGGTACTAGGGGTTCTAAACCCCAAACCTTAGTTTTAGGTTACTATGTATTGATATCTTAGCATTTTTAATGAATGAATGCATTTATCTAGTTGATTTGAATGTTATTCTATATTTGATTGTGTTTGAGTAAGTCGCACTAATCTTCTCTACTAGCCTACTTGAGCTTCTTCGCTGGGTATGGAGTTTTTAGGGTTAGACGGGTATGCGCCATCAAGCAAATTGAGGTTATATGAATGAATAGGATCCTATTGTGATCAAGGCGATCGAACCCATGTCATAGGAATGCCTTCCTAGAAAGAACCCGGGATGAAACCTAAGTGTGGACGGTGGGTAGTACCCATTGAAAGAAGATACAAGCTTAATGCCCCCAGATACGATAGCCTAGATCGAGGTGACTTACATGAGTTTAGGAGAGGTGTACTCGGAGGCGTGTGGATAACCATGAAAGCCCACGGAAAAGAGCTCACTCACCACATTCGAAAAACCCTAAGTATCTAGACATTGCATAGTAGTCCTAGGCTTGGGTGAGGGATAGTTTCCTGATGTACCTGCTTTTATCTTTATTTGATCTCTAGACTAGTTAGGTCCCTCATATCCTCCAACACATACCCTTAAACCGATCGGCTAGATAACAACGTGGGAAGTAGGCTAGGGTACCAGGACACGAGTGAATACGTCATTGATTACCACTATACGACAATGCCATTTTAGGTTAAACTTGGCCTAGGATGGGGTAGTTGTTGACACATGATAACCATTGACAATAATCTGCACAGATAAATGTGATCAAAGCCCTTGTCTCCCCAGGAAGTCTATGAAGATCAACTACAACTAAAATGAAATAGGGAGCAAGAAAGGGAGGCTAGCACTACAAGCCAGAAGCTAGGAAGGACTAATGCCCTAGAGTACAATGCATTGATGTTATCACAAAGTGGAGACGTGAAGCAAGCGATAAATGATTGTGCATGAATCCATGATCATGATCATATTCAAGGGTGTGCTACTCAATCAAGAGCTAATTCATGACATACAACCTAGGGTACGAGTGGTATTAGAGGAATTTGATGATGTCTTTCCCGAGGAAGCTACAAAAGGCCTAACTCCAATCTGCGGAATAGAGCATCAAATTCACTTCGTCACTAGAGCTACCATTCCAAACAAGGCAGCTTCTAGGACGAATCTAGATGAAATGAAGGAGTTATAGAGGCAGATTGATGAGCTTTTGGAGGACATATTCGAGAGAGCTTGAGTTCCTACGTAGTTCCTGTCATCCTCATGCCAAGATAGGACCATACGTGGAGAATTATGTTGATTGCCAAGCAGTCAGTCGAATAACATTTAAGTATCATTGATAACACCTAAAATAGGCGATATTTAGCCCTATTACCAAGGCATTTGCATGTTATATCATTGTGTGTAGGCCACATATCAAGTTATTTATGCATATTTTAGTTCCTATTTGCAAATCATGCATTTTGGCATAGGTATTCATGATATGATGGTTTTCATAAGGGAGCCAACCCCACTTTGTCGTATTTTATATTTTTCCAAGTGTTTGTGATGAAATTCCAGGGCTTATATGCATTTGGGATTGATCGAAATTTATTAGAGTTCATCCGAGCACGATTGGAAAGCATAGGAGCAAGAAGGAGAGAAGAGGCACTGGTCACGACCACACGTCACGGCCTTGACCACCAGGTCGTAACCATGTTCGCCCCTGAAGATTGCGGTCGTGAATAGTGGCCTCAAACCTGAGCAAGCGACCAAGAAGAAGGCAGATAGTTTTGTTGAGTGAAGCTCGTCAATAGGAAAGAATCAACAAATCAACCAAGACTGAAATGGAAGGTTTCAAGAATAGAAAGCTGGAGCAGATTTGTGGGAAATCAAAATCAATGCCCTGCAACGGCTAGCTTGAAGAGATGAAATAAAAAGGACGAGACAAACCAACTGAGAGTTAAGGTTTTTCAGCAATTCAAAAAGCAGAGTCCTAGGTTACAGAGTGAAATTGCTTTTTGAGTGAAAAACATCAGTGAAGCTAATCAGGGAGAATAGTTGTTAGTACTGAGGGTGATCAGGGAGATTGTGCTTCAGTAGAATCGTTTGATTGATAGGCAGGGAGCTACTCAATTCAAACTTCGAGTCTGTAAAGCAGGAACAAGAACAGTGTTCTAGTAGTTACGTAGGAATCCTCAAGAGGAGAGATTCCTACCATGGATTAGTCGATATTGGGATTCTTCTTCTCCCAATATCGGATACCACGTAAAAAGGTTTGTGCAGTGGGTGTGTTTTCTGTTTCGTGTTAAGCTTGCTACTCTGTTTCTGTAACAGTTGTTCAGGTACAAAGAAGTCTTGCTTCAGGAAGCACTCATCGGCGGATCAGAGGAAGAAGAAGGTAAAAGTGGGTTGCGTAGGTGGAAGCAGGCCTATAGTCATTTACTTTGAAATAAGGCTCTGGGCCGAAGCCTAGTATCGTCTAAATTAAACGACAATCCATTTTACATACTTCTGTTATTATACAAGTTTCATTGTCGTTTAATCAAAACAAAGAAAAAGAAAACCACGAACAATCTCACTCTTCACTTGCTCGAGCAAAATTGTCGATTAGGGTTTTGCAGGTCCTCAATCTGAGCCTCAGAAAAGCACTGGTCTCGCGCTCGACCATCAATCCACACGTGGTATCAGAGCTCGGCTCCGGAATACAAGGCGCAACCGTCTTCGGAGACAATGAGCTCGGGATCAGTCAATGGAATCTTCATGGCAGATGGATTCTCACAAACTCGAACTCCCAGGTTCGAAGGCGTACACTACGGGTACTGGAGAAATCGAATGGAGCTCTTCATAGGATCAACTGATCCGGATCTCTGGAACATTGTTCTAGATGGACCCTTGGAAGTGAAGGAGGCTCGTGGAAATTGGACGGAAACCGACAAGAGGAATTTCCAGCTTAACTCGAAGGCGACGAATATGATGTATTGTGCACTGGGACCAGAAGAGTACCACAGAGTGACTGGGTGCAAATCTGCAAAAGAAATCTGGGATAAGTTGCAGATTGCACATGAGGGTACCTCTCATGTCAAAGTTTCAAGAATCAACAGTCTCAAGCCAGACGAGTCGATTAAAGAGATGAATGACCGCTTCACGACGATTGTCAACAGCTTGAGAAACTTGGAGGTAGAATACGCTAGTGCAGATCTAGTACGAAAGGTACTCTGGGCTTTGCCTAAGAAGTGGACGCCTAAGGTCACTGCGATTGAGGAATCGAAAGATCTCACCAAGTTAAGCCTGGATGAGTTAATTGGAGCTCTTATCACACATGAAGATAAGCTAAAGAAAGAAGACCTGGAAGAGCCGAGAAAAGAAAAGAAGAGCATAGCATTCAAGTCTACAACTCAAGAAGATGAACTGGATTGCTTGGACGAAATGGAGGATGATGAGCTTGCAATGCTAAGCAAGCACGTTGCCAAGCTACTCAAGATCAGAAGTGACAAGAAGAGAGGAGGATTCTCAAACCGGTCGAGAGATGGAGAAATTGAAAAAGAAAATAACAGAGGGGGACGACAAGGATTCAGGAATCGGAGAGAAGGAGTAAGCAATGAAAGGATCCAGACCCAAGCTGGATGCTTCAGATGCGCAAACCAGGGCACATCAAAGCCGAGTGCCCACTGGCCAAGAAAGAGAAGGCGTTTGCAGCCACCTGGAGCTGCAGCGAAGAAGAAGAAGAAGAGGATGAAGTAAATCACAAGTACAGCGCTTATATGGCAATGGATGACTGCGAAGAAGAAAACTCTCAGGTAACAACCTACTACTCTGACTCTGAAAGTGACTGTGATGAATTACTGGATGAGACCATTAGGGATATTCAGAATGAATGTGTGAATGTAAAAAATAAGTATCTCTCTATCAAGGTAAATCATGATAAGTTGCAAAATGAATTTGAAAAACTGATGTGTGAAAAACTAAGTGTTGAAAACAGAGTTCAAGAGCTGATGCAAGATAACTGTAGGTTAAAAGAACAGATAAAGGATGCTAAAGCTGAGTTAGAAAAGACAAAAACTAGAACTAAGGTAAAAACTGAAAATGTAAAAAGATCAGAAACTCACAAACATCACGAATGCTTTTATTGTCACAGAACTGGGCATTACATTGCTAACTGTAGAAGACGGATAAACAAGGAAAACAAAATAAAACAATCTTGGCATGTAAACTCAGATTACAATCAACATTCAATAAACTCAACTCATATCAGAAAAGTAACTAAACTGGTTTGGTTACCCAAAACTAAATGATTGTATATACATTCTTGCAGACCTGTCTCTAAGTGAGCATGGAAGGCAGCGTTTGGATTCTAGATAGTGGGTGCTCACACCACATGACGGGTAATAAAAACCTTTTTCAAAACTAACTCTGGAAAACAAATGAAAAGTCTATTTTGGTGATAATTTCAGCACTGAAATTCTAGGGAAAGGAACAGTAGGAACATCTCCATCAATCAGTAATGTGCTGCTGGTTAAAGATCTCAAACATAATCTCTTGTCAATTGGTCAATTGTGTGGAGATG